GCACATGACGGACTTTGAGCTTAAGTAGGTTATGTTTAACCAAGTCTGTGTGTATGGATTCCAGAGTGTGTGTCCAAACAGCAAAGAGCATGAGGAAATTAGTGAGCAGGTTGCTCATTCATACGCAGTAGTTCACATTTGAGGATTCCCACCCAGACTGCATATTTATTAGTTATTGCCACTTTCTATGCAAGGTACCCTTTATAGGGTTTATAAGTTGTAACTAATGGCTTTATTAATTGGTAATTAATCATTTATCAGTGTAATATAGATTAGTCATCTAACATTATACTTGCTTTGCTTACAAGAAAGTAAGCGAGACAAACCTGTGACCTTTTATTAATGACTTACTAACATTTGTAACTGCACTCAAATGTAATGCGGTTCATGAGTTTATCTCTTTCTTAAATCCTGTCTGCAATTGTAAATGTGAGTAAATCAGTTTTATTCCAATGTATTCTAATATTGTGTCAGCGTCACAAAAAAACAGAAAATGTATTAAAAAACATTACAAAAAACAAAAACAACCAGATAATTCAAAGTAAAGAACAAAAACCTTCCCTGGGGTTTCCCTGTATTAGATTTTTTTTTAATAGAAACGCAGCTTGATAAACCTTTTAACGTTATACTGAGAGCTTAGTTTTTCCATAACACAGAAATCATATGTTTTCCATTTAGACATTTGGTCGTAAACCAAAGTAGCAGTGATAACAGTTCATACTGTGAGTGACGTGAATGTGTGTGCCAAATTTCAAAGCTGTTTTTTTTTTGCCTTTATTGGATGGGCCAGTATAGTGCCAGACAGGAAACAAAGAGGGAGAGAGAGGTGTATGACATGCAACACAGGTCCTCGGCTGGAATCCAACCAGGGATGGCCATGTGCCACAACTATTTGTCAATCAAAACAGAAAATGTGAACCTCATAATAGTGCTAGAGAAAAAGTCAGAGGATCACCAGAGTCATTCATGGATATATGTACCAAATATCATGGCAACCTGTCCAGTACTTGTTGAAATATTTCAGACTGGACCAAAGTGGTCGACCAGTCAACTGACATCTCCAGCCATAGAGCAGTGCAGCTAAAAAAATATACCAAGTTAAGAAGTCATTAATGAGGACTCACAGGTTTCTCACTATGTAATAGGTCAGGAGATCTGCAATTATAAATGTTATTAAGTCGTTAGAAAAGGGATTTTACAGAAAACCATCAAGTAGTAAGCTGCAAGTAAATGTTAATAAGCTGTTGATAAATGGGTTTTGGTCCACATTCTCTGCTGAGCTTTTGCAGAAGTTAAGTGGTCAAAGGATCCACTGGACAGGTGGATGAACTTAAGAGTTAGTTAAAATGTCAGAGCAAGTGTCAAGCTAGAGGAGGATATTACACCACCATAAGAGATTTTTACAACCTGGCAGCCCAAAAGTTGTTCTTCTTAATGGTTTGTAACTGATATATAAAGTTATAAGTTACAACTTCTGACCTTTTATAAAGGGTGCTATATGACACAGTGGTACCACACTGGAAAATATCAAACCTTCTCAAGCATGCATGAAGAAAAAATAAATAATTCTGGCCACGTCCTGAGTGTGTCCAGTCAGCCTGTGTGTCCCTCTGGTATGATGCTTTTAAGTTAATGAATGTTGAATATGAAAATGTTTCCTCATGCTGGCCTTAGCATGCGTATCCCAGCCAAGGGTGGAGGATGATGCCAGAAAGATCGGGGTGATGTAATCTGATTTGATTTATAATGTCTGCCTGACCTTTATTACCTGTGTTGGCACTCGAGGAGAGGGAGTTTAAGAGGCGGGAGAGCATGGGATACAGGGAGGAGGACGGGGGAGGTTGTGGTTCTTGGAGCGGGAGGAAGAATGAGAAGATGAGAGTAATTAGAAAGAGAAGACAAATCGTGGAGGCCACGTAACATTTTCAGTTGTTTACACTTATAAAGTTTGAATCATCAGGGTCTTAACCTCTCTCATTCTTCTGCTCAGCTGTTTTTTTTTTTACTAAGGCATTAAGCCATTTTTTTTTCACCTCATCTAATTGCCCCCTCCTTTTTCCTCCTTCACCTCTCCCTTGCCGTATCTATATCTCCATCTCTCACCTCTGCCTCTCCATCTCTCTGGCAATTTTAATTATTAAGTGTAGTTGTAGTTTATCTGTTGGCTGAGACTCAGGTTTCTGACAGAGAGACTAAAGCTCTACCCAAGGGCAGTCATATGTGGAGATGAAACAGACGCGGGGAGGGCGCCGAGCAAAAAGCAGTTTGGAGAGAAAGGACAGTGTATGTGCACGAGAGGGAATGGGAGAGGCAAAAAATATATGCGAGAAATGATACGGAATGAAGATGGGAAATTATACCACACTATATAAAGGAAGAGGGGGAGACAGAGAGCAGGAGGAGCAGAGCAAAGAGAAAGATAATTGGGCCAAAGAGAGGGGGGAAAAGGCTGTAGAGGAAAATGAGAGATAATATAGGAAAAGGTTGGATGTGAGGGGAGATAAAGGAAAAGCAACGGAGAGAGAGACAGAGGAGAGGACGTTCCCCCTGTGTTTCATCACTGATGTTGAATGATGGGCCAACCGTGGAAATACTCCCATCTCATCCATCACTCACACCTTGACCCTGCCCCATCCCTTGTTTAACTATGTATGCGTGTGTGTGTGTGTGTGTGTATCTCTTGTGTGTGTGTCTGTGTGTGAGTGTGTGTTTTATAGAGACACAGAGTTATTTAAGCTGCTGTAACTTATACAGATGGAGCAGGATTAAAATGACCCTCCTCAGCACTAGGGAAAGGAAGGATGCTTCAGCAAGAGTTGTGCTGAAGGACACCATTTTCTATTGTGTGTGTGTGTATGTGTTTATGTTTGTGTTTGTGTTTGTGTGTGTGTATTAATTGTGTTCCAGTCCAGACAGGATGCAAGCGGATTGTGAAACTCAGAAGTCAGTTCCCACGGTGAGATGGGGGTTCCCATGGCAACCACAGCAAAGGGAGGACACTGGATTACCCTCTCTCTCTCCACCTCTCCTCTCCTCTCTCTCTCCCCCTCTCTTCTCTCTCTCTCTCTCTCTTTCTCTCTCTCTCTCTCTCCCACCTCTCTCTCTCTCTTTCTCTGTCTCAAGGGTGATAAAGGATTGTACTCTCATTAATTTTTCCGCCCTCTCGAGAGCAAAGTGTCCGGGAAGGGGACTCTGGGTGTGAGCGTGTGTGTGCGTGCACATGTGTCTATGTGTACGTGTCCATGTGCATGCTCCGGGCTTTGTTATGCATGCGTCCTTGGCTCTTGAATACATCCCTGTCACCCATTCAGCAGTTTTCACGTTTGCGCGCAAATGTGAGTGTGTATGTGCGTGTCTGTGTTTGTATGAAGCAAACACAATTTTTCCTTTAACTTTCTACTTCAGACTGTTTTCCCTTTTAAACCTCCCCGCTTTTCACTTCTGAGACGTGCTCCGTCTTCCAGTTTGACAGCTAGCAAGCAACACAGATGCACAAATACACACTATACGCAAATTTACACTTAAACTGACTTCAGACGTCTCAGCGGCTGTTTCATGGTAGCTGTCTTGCTTTTGTAGTTGTGAATATTAAATATGTCAAAATGTCCTGTCACAAGTTGTGCTTGTAAATTAAAGTTGATATATTTAAGCTTATTATCCCAAGTTTCTGCCCTTATAAACATTTTTTTTAGGTTAGTACATTCAGTTCTGTGCTTGCGAATTCAATTTTACAAGCTGCGAGGCACAAAATTCACACATGGACTGTGTGTGTGTGTGTGTGTGCTTAAATAGATATTTTGTAACTTCACTTTGGTAATGTTTTGTACACTGCAAGATAGACATGGCTGGACCTTTATTGTCTACCAGTCAGTTTCCTCAGGGTTTCCTCTGGGTTGCTAACAACATTACCATTGGGTGGATACAGATGGTGACAAATGAAAGGAAAATCCTGAATAAATGAACGGAGAAATAATGAATGCAGATGACTCAACATGGGGCACTAGGGGTCACTGAATGGTTTGATGAGAATGAAAACTATGAATCATTTCCTCTGTTCTTTACAGTCACCAGATCTCAATGGGATTTTTCTGGTGCCTTAACACCTTACTGAGACAGTTTATGTTGGATATCACTATGTTAAGATATCACCAATTTGTAATTCTATTAGTCGAATCTTAACACTCAGTCAACTCCATAAAATCTAGAAAAACATGGACGCAGCATATATCATCCACTGATTTCTGATGGTACATTTACAGCCTAAACTCGTTTACTAAGTACCAACATCTTGACAGGTACTAGAGCCAGATAATTCTTTCATTTGGGCAAAGGAGAGGACAGATAGGTGGAGGTGAAGTGGGACCATAGACTGTATAAAATATGGTCATCTTGGGAGTTCCTGACTCTGCTGGCTCCCAGCTAAAATTCAAAAATGGAGAAAGACATGGAGCGTGGGTGGAGCTGAGGCAGCCTGAATGAAGCCAGTGGTGATGGCTCCCACTTGTCACTCAACGTGGGCGCATCCTAATTATACATATCTTTATCTTCGATATAATTAAAACAGTACAGTTGTCGTGAACTGGAAAATTAGCTATAGAGACCAAAACCTTTAAAAAAAAATTCTATTCTGTTTCATTTGAATAGTGCCAAATCATAGCAGAAGGTATCTCAAAGAAAGAGAAAGAGCTGTAAACATGTTTACTTGTGTTATAAAGTTGGACATGGGTGTTTATGACTCAATTTTGCAGCCAACCTCAAGTGGCGGTTCAAGAAACTGCAGTTTTTGGCTCTTAGCTGCTTGAATGCGACGTGCTATGCAACCAGCCATCTACTGGGCTTGTTCTAATTGGCTGAGACTCTGTCATGAAATGTACCAATGTTGAATATCATTATTGTAATCAATGTTCAAACTCTGCTGTGGTTTCGACCCTTAACCTTGTGTCACATGGTTTGAGCGTGTGAGCATTTTGGCCATCCTGCTGAACTGTGTGACTCTAGGGATGTTCCAGCCCTGTGACCACACCTCCTTCCTGCTGCAGGTAACACACACATTCACACACTCACAATCTGAAATTACAAACTAATTATGTTCAGCTGTGAGACTTTATTATCAAGGGTTTGAAAAGTTTTTGCTTTAATTTTTCCCCCACTTAATCAGTTTACACTAATCCTTGGGGTGTGTGTGTGTGTGTGTTTGTGTGTGTGTCTGTGTGCAGGCTCTGGATGATGGGATCTTTGTGTTTTTTGCCGGGGAAATGGTGGTGAAGATGGTGGCTCTCGGGGTCATAGGTCAGAGCGGTTACCTAGGAGACACATGGAACCGATTGGACTTCTTCATTGTTATAGTGGGGTGAGTGTTTGACAGACGCACACACCCACATGCACACGCACACACGCGCATCTGACATTAAATATGAGCCAAAAGTGTGTGTGTATGTGTGAGTTTTGTGTAAAGCTTAGACACTTGTTTAATGCCAGTGAAATGTCAAGCGTGTGAGTGCGCGTGCCTCAACGTAAGTGTGTGTGTGTGTGTGTGACAGCTCCGTAGAATGACAATGGCATCATTCAGTCCTGAGAGACAGGGACCTCGGTGATTGGTAGTTAAAAGGCTATGTATCCCAGAGACAGTGCACTACGTTCTGCTGGATTCCCTGTAGATGTTCAGGGTTTGCCAAGGTCAGGCTGATCAGGATGCCAGTGACACAGCGGTGGCTTTCCCTCTCCACAGAATGCTGGAGTACTCACTTGATGGACACAACGTCAGCCTATCAGCTATCAGGACCGTCCGGGTTCTCCGCCCACTGCGAGCCATCAACAGAGTTCCCAGTAAGTTTTTCTCCTTTTTCTTCCATAAACACTGCACTCAGAAAGTTTTAGTTTTTTGTTGTCTTTTAGTGTTTTGGCACTGTGCTCAAACACATTAGATTTTAAATTAAAATTGACTGTGAGGTTAAAGTGCTGACTTTAGAAATTGTTTAGTGTGTTCACATCCAATTTGGGTGAACGGTATACGACTCTCCTGACTTTAGGACAATGCAGCAGGTCAGAGATTGTAAAGAGAGAAGAGAGAAGGCAACTAAGGACATTTTTACGGTCAAATCGTGTAACGTTTTTGACTGGACAAGTTGCTGACATGCAACTCAACTCATTGTGTGTTTGACTTGCTGAAGACAAGACTGAAGGCAAAAAGCCCCCAAAACAAGCTAGATGTGAAGATGACTGTAGTACCAGAGTGGCAGAGCATCAGCAGGAAAGACAATAAGTGTAATAAGATGAGTTCTGTGGGTTGAAGACTTCAGAAAGCCACTGAATGAACTAAATATTAAACATGATGACTGTGCAGTGTGCAAGACTTCTTTCAGGTTATGTTAACTTGTCCAATCAACTTTCTGTTCCCTATAATTGGTGGACCGTGTATAAAATTGAATGCAATTCCTGCACTGTTCACCACACCCTGAGCTGAAAGTCAGCAACCTCATTAGTCACAGCCAAGACAATGAAAAATGTGTCACAGTCCTTGTACTCTCTGACTGCACTGTAAATTCACTTCAACTCTCCAGCTATTAACAACAGCAGCTTTCCTTGTGATATACGCATGTGTAAACATGGACCGTGAACAAAGTCATGGAAATCATTGTGATGCTTGTGTTGTTCTTAACAGCTTGGCACACAAACCGGCCAGCCAACCTAACATTTTTTTACTACACTCTGTGACCTTGGCACAGCTCAGACTGAGTTCTCATAAAATTGGAGAGCATGTTTGAAGTAGCCAAGTGTAGAAACAGTAAGGAGGACGGTTTTCTTCTTCAACATAGTGGAGTGGTGGCCAATTATCAGTGTTTGAACTCTAATTATTTGCCATTCAATTAATTGCACTGCTCCAGTTTTGTGCAGAATACATTAAGAGATGTCTCCTTCAGCGCTTCCTGTGACTGATATTTTGCTAAAGTTTAGGCTGCATATCTTTGCTAGTCTGTAGTGTCAAGTGTGCAATTGCCTATAGTGTTTGTGCTTGTGTGTGTTGGTAGGTATGCGTATCCTGGTGACCCTCCTCCTAGATACGCTTCCCATGCTGGGCAACGTGCTGGCACTGTGCTTCTTTGTCTTCTTCATCTTCGGTATCGTTGGTGTGCAGCTGTGGGCAGGGCTACTGAGGAATCGTTGTTTCATGGGAGAGGATGTCAAGATGTAAGTTAGTATAATAACCGGCAGTTGTCACAACAGTGGGATGCACTGACCTCATTACTCTCAAAAGTTTGCTCACCACTGATTAGCTTCTGTCACCCAGCTATTATTTCTAAGAGTGGATCAATATCACAGATAGTCTGATCTGGTTTCTCCTCTAATCAGCTCCCATCTGGGAGAAAGTAAATGTGTAAATGTGTCTCCTGCTGGAACCTCCATCATTAGAGATCACAAATCAAGGGTTTAAGAAGGCTAAGTGAATTGTGTTTGTCATTATTCAAGGACCCTCAGTGGCTTTCTCAGCACAAACCCTCAGTGTTTCACTGTCACTCCTGTTCCCTCCTACATGATCCTTCCTGCCATGTTCAATCACTGTCTAACTGACATCGTCACACCATCACTCTCACTCCCACTCTCACTCACATGTTCACAAACACGATCATATGATATCACATAACATCAGATAACATCATGTTCACCTCATGGCCTCACATCTGCTCAACCGTCCCGCTTAGATAATAATCCCTGACAGTGGTATTGTGGTTACTAGCCAGCCTCTGTTGTCATATTGGAGAACTAAGAACAGTTTGTATGGACTGCAAGAAATCATTATGTCAAAAACAGACAAAACAGAACCCATCAGCGCTGACAAAAGGTGATGAACGGACTTGAAAAGCAAAATTCTTTTATTTTTTAACGTTTTATTATTTAATTTTATCACTGAACCAGGAGTGATTTCTATCATACTACAGCTGTATCAGGAAAGGCAATGTCATATTGGCTCTTGCCTTAATCATTCATGGTCATGTTACCTACCTAATCCTTTAGACTAGATTTTATTTTCAGATGGCAATTTGGATTTTTTTCTGCTTCACAAACAAAATGACCTTTTCTAATAAGAAGTGAGGAAGCAGTGCTCCTCTGTGACCCCTCTTTACAGCACAGATGATTGATTGCTTATCTCGCCTCTGCACCCTCCCTCTCTCTTTTCTTTTTTTCCCTTCATCTGTGTTTCTCTGTCTGTTTCTTCATTTCCCAGTACCCTTGTGTGTTTCATACTGCGTTCCTTTCTGGGTTTACTTTCTCAGAAAATAGACCTTTTGCACAAACAAAAGGTTGACAAAACGATTTATCTTCCCAAGAATTGTCCAAACTTTACTTGAAATTGTGCTGTTGGTGTTATAGGCCCTTTTGTAGTTTATAGTGTAAGGCTGGCAATATTCTATATTTTTATAATTGTCAATAAATTCCATTAAAGGACCAGAATCAAACGAATTGATTCATATAACAAATTGTTTGTGTAGCCAAAGCCGGATACAGCTTATTCCTGTGTGCCATAGAGCTCCAGACTATTAAAAAAAAGCCACACCATCACCGGTTGAAATGTTCCTCCAATTAAATGAACATGGGCACTGCAGTTTATTTTGAGTCAGTCTCACATACACGGCCATGTTGTTCACCAGCACACCAAATGTCTATTAATCCTTGGCTGAAATAGTCCCCAACAAATGCAATATTTACTCCTGTCCGAGTGCCACAGACAGGAAAAAGAAGTAGGAAAGTACTGAGAAACAGATTCAAGCATCGTTGCTTTCTGTCTTTTCAGGGGATTTGTTGACGATAAGGAAACAAGTTGTGTTTGGCTCCTCAGTTCGATTCAGTTAATGCATTTTAGGTAATAATTTTTTTACATGTGTAATAAATAAAATATTTTTTTTTTTCATTCACCTTATAACCTTCTTCTCCAGGAAATATAACATTTCCTTCCTGAGTGGCTACTATCGGCCAGATGGGACTGATGACCACCCTTTCATCTGCTCAACGGAAAGAGATAACGGGATGCTTCGTTGCTCTGATGTGCCTCGCCGCCGTGTGGCCGGGACTTCCTGCTTCCTTGGTGCTGAGGAGGCCCGTCCAGAGATGGGACCTAGTATAGATGAACCAGTGTCATGTGTAAACTGGTACCAGTTTTACAATGAGTGTCGAGCCGGGGAAATAAACCCACACAAAGGAGCTATTAACTTTGATAACATTGGATATGCATGGATCGCCATTTTTCAGGTAAATGTTTGATGGGTTTGTAGACAGGGAAACACCTTGATGAATGAATGATACACACACTACTGACGCACACTATGCACACTACACAGCACACTTTACTGTGAATACTCTGGGTCTGCGTGTGTGCTTTCATACAGGTAATTACCCTAGAAGGTTGGGTAGACATCATGTACTACGTTATGGATGCACATTCTTTCTACAACTTCATCTACTTCATCTTCCTCATTATAGTAAGTACACACACACACATACAGTTAGATGACATGTACTGTACAGTGTGTTACAACAGTGTCTAATGTTTGTGTTGTCGTAATCAGGTGGGCTCCTTCTTCATGATCAACCTGTGCCTGGTTGTCATAGCAACCCAGTTTTCTGAAACAAAGCAGAGAGAACACGCCTTAATGAAATCGGAGCAGCGCGCCCGGCAGCTCCACCAATCAGCTTCCACACTGGCCAGCGACAGCCAACCGGGAAGCTGCTACGAGGAGATCATCCGCTACGTGGCGCACCTGGGTCGCAAGGCGTGGCGACGACTGTCTCGCTTCTTCACTCAGACACACACATACTTTCACTGCGTGTGCGTGTGCCAGAAAGACAGATGCGGTAGAGCTGCCAGAGGGGGCGGAGCTGGGGAAATGAATGGACTTGCTCACCGGCACTCAGGCCACGCGCCCAACGACCTGTCACACCTTCATCAGCTTTATCATCACCATCACCAGCATCATCACCAGCATCATCACCAGCATCATCACCCTCAGTCTGAGCCTACTGTCAGTAATGGAGGAAATGGCTTTAATTACCCCTTCATATCGCCCCTCTTCAGTCACTTGGATGCAAAGGGCCAGGACCAAAAGAGGCTGGTTGCCGCGGAGACGGTCAACAGACTACCGCAGCTAGTGGTGGATCATGGTGAGAACAAAGGGGTGTGTGTGAATCTGAGTGCTCCCAAGGTCAAAGCTTGTCTACCTGGGCATTACAGTTGTGGAGGCACAGATCTGGAGGGCCTTGGCAGAAACTAGCATTGGGTCCCCTGTATTCGAGCAACATTAGCAGGTTGAGTTTGTCAGAGAGATTTAGGTAACTTTTCTATATTTCTTTTAATTTTTTATTTTAAGAAATAATCGTTCAGGGTCAGGACTAAATAACTAATTGTGCTATGAAAAATATTTTTATGGAGAGAGTCATTTATATATAATGATATAATTTGTAAATCTCTCTGTCTTGAGACTCACCTGATTCCATACATTTAGACCTGCACATCACACACACTTTTTTTTTTTTTGGTGCTCAAAGCAAGAAGAGTCAAGAGTCTGCAGAATATTGACAAACTTTTGGTCATAGACCTTAAACAGGCCTACATATAAAAATGAATGCAAGAACACTGTGGTGTATTTACACCAGGCAATTAGCCCCAAGGCAACACATCTGGGTATGCCTTACATAAGCTTATACTTGGGGTATTGTAGTCCCATGGCATCTGTAGACCAAAACGATTGAGAATAATACACACATTTACAACACTGTTCACAGTTGCTACATGGGCAGTTCCTCAAAGAATCATACAATACATTTTCAAAAAACCTGAACAGCAGCGTGTCCTGTCAAAGACGATGTCAGTTAGTCTGGATAAACCACAGAAAATACTGAAAACTGTCAAAAATGGCTCCCACTGAGTCCTTAAGGATTTTAAGGTGTTGATTTCCCAGATGTGAAGGGTTTCAAGGGGTACTCCATAAAATTGGACTTACATAAAATTGATTTAAAAATAGATGGTAAAAATCAAAGCAGCAGATGCAAAGACATCTTGACTTTTAATCTCTTGTCTGAGTAATGCTCCAAAAAACAACACCATCAAATTCCACACCCTCAGTTAAAAATTCTCCTACCCGAAGCCAAAATAACCCTGATGACATCATCGGGGGCTGTTTCAGATCCTCCAGTCTCAGAGGATGTACAACTGTTTTCACAGATTCCCGATGATAAGTAAACTGACATTTTAATACAATTTAGTTATGAATTCTAATTGTAGCTGGGACAAACTGAGTAGAAATCATTCAGTATGCTGTTACATGCACGAGGGATCCTGGGCCAAAACTCTGAAAATCACAGCTCTAGATAAGTGTATTTCTTTGCGTGTTTAGTGCAGAGCCATTTTCAGCAAAGTTTCCTTGCAGCCCACATTATCTATAGACACACACCACAGAACGACTAGATTGGATTTACTATATCAGTCTCCAGTGAAACACAAATTTGTTGTAATTGTGATGACAAGTGAACTGCTCATGCTAGATTAGTGTTTGTTGTTATGTCATTGGAGCATTCCTCCCGAGCTGCTAGCTAATGAATTCCACTGAAATCTTACTCCCGCTTCACTCCACGCCCCTTCCCCCCAACACACACAAGCACACACACGCACACACACTCACACACACATACACACAGACACATACATCTCTGTTCTAATAAAAGAACTCCCCCTCTGCACAAAAGCATCCCAACTGCACAGTAGCTTCCATATTATTGAATTTTTTGTCTCCCAGAAATGAAATGAAGGTGCTCTCCTTTACCAGGCAGAGAATATATTGAATGACAGAATGTGGAACACACAGAATCTGTTTGCTCTGCCCATGTATGATTTTTGTGGCCCGTGTCTATATCACCTCCTCCCTCTGTCTGTGCAGGTGGATGCGCTGGGCATCCTGCGTTACCGTTGCCAGGTGAAGTCCCAGGAGAGTCCTCAGTATGCCCGTACTGCATCTACTACAACCAACTTAGTGACAACGAAAATCTTAATGAGCAGACTGAAGACCAGCATCATGGGTACAACTCATGCCATGGCAACAGCCCGTGTCACAGTAACAGCCCATGCCATTGTAGCAGCCCATGCGGCGGTGATGCACAGGTGTCTGAGCCAAGGAAAAGGCTGTGGGAGCATTGCTGGGCGGGACTCCGAACTAAACTGGATCTCATTGTTGGCAGCAGATACTTCAACAGAGGAATCATGATTGCCATCCTTATTAACACACTGTCGATGGGCATAGAGTACCATGAACAGGTATGTTTGTGTGTGTATTCGTGTAGGAGGCGGCATGTTTGTGTGTGCACGTGCATAGCTAAGTGCGTGCCTCTTGCAGATTGTATGAGACTACCGTTTGATTGAAAATGGATGTGCTAATCACTGTGTGTGGTGGAGTCAATGAACTTACCCTCCAATCAACACTTACAGCACCAAGCATATGGGATCACAACGTGTGTGTGGGTGCGTGTATCTGTGTATGTGTGTGTGT